ACAGACAGACAGACAGACAGACAGACAGACAGACAGACAGACAGACAGACGGACAGACACAGACTAAGCGCTTTATAGTAAGTAAGTAGGATGAAAGAAAGGAAGAAAAGAATCAACAAATCTTAAAACTATTGAAGCATCAACGAGCGTAGTCTTGCTTCGAGCTCATAAGGTTTTCTTTCTTCCGACGCTACCGCTTCGATTGGACAATCTATGCGTAATTAGATGGTTTACTTCTGTACATTTCGACCCATCCTTCCCTACCAAGAATCCAAGAATTCAAGAACAGAGGTGAATTAAGGGCAAGAATTACTGACAAGGTTGGCAAGATCTCACCATACTCTTGAGCTGGACGGTACCAGAGTTCTTCCCCCACCGAAGTGAGACACGAGCAGAGTGACTGAATAATGACCGAATGTGTAGGCTTAAAAAGTGATGATTCCGTCGCCTTCAGAAGGCGAAGTGACTAGACGAACTCTCATCCTCTCCCCACCGATGGAATTACTGAAATCATCCTCAACCCAAAAACCGTGTTCTGCCTGCGCTTTGCTGGTTGGAATGTTCTAACCGTCAGGGCAACCTTATTCATGGTTATTCTAGAGTGCTTATCGGGTGAAATTCACATCCAGTAGACAAAAACGTGTTCATCGATGCTGATTATCCAACAGATACTATTGCGATTCACAAGAAATAAAAATTGCTTAAAATTGGCCATCGAGTCAAGGAAAAGTCAGATATTTTCATTGAACCAGATCGAGATCGAGAAGGAAAAGAAATAAAGATGACGGAACAAAAACTATGAAGTACCAGTGTGAGTGCAGGACCAATCCCTGCAGAAACATATGGCCAAATTGTAATTGAATTGAACACAGCTTGAACAGTGTCACCAGGCTAGACATAATGCGACGGACCGTAGCGGAAATTGCTTGCACAATAGCATAACCTGGCTCTAAAATCAGCGTAACCCTATTTCACTTTCAAAGTTCCGCCCTCAAACGGAATTCCAGCAACCCCCAGCGGATGTTTGCCGAACACCCTAATTTGAGTTTATACTCTTTCAAAAACTCGGTTCACATTTTTGTGTTCTACTTTATCGACAGTCGGCCGTTTTTTCCAGCAGGTACTTCTCCAATGGAGGGCTCCTCTCGCCCATACATTTTTTGGACAACATGAAAGTTCACTATTTTCAGTTTTACCCCNCCCCCCCCCCCCCCCCCCCCCACAAAAAAAGCGCTTCGAGTACGAAACCCATAGGGATAGTAACCTGAAGGTGAGAAAAATGATGGGCGTCATATCTGGTTTGTCGTAGAAGGCGGTACCAAAACCTCAGTAATCACCGATCGAAAGGGATGACCAGCTGGGCATGTAATTTTTTAGGATAAACGGAAATGTACAAATTGAAAAGATAAAAAAGTTGTCAGTCAGAAGGCCGTTAACATCTTTGTTGTGCTAGTATGAGGTTCCGCCATATATAATCAGTCCCTACGATCCCTCTCCCTTTTGTCCCCGAACGCGTAAATGCAACCCCTTCTGCTGCGTACATCGATATAAGGTTGAGCCTTTACCCGAACTTTGCTTGTTACTAAAAAAGTTCCTTCAACTTGGCTATTCTTGGCGGGTTTCCAATAATAACCGATCGGAAAGGAATTGTTTCGTATCCAGCGGCTGTCATTTGTGTTGATTCACGTAAGTGCGATCTCTATCAATTTGGTCCTACCGCCTACGTGACGTATAGCTGAGCAAATAAACCATTCCAATGATGAAAAGTCATCACGAGTGTAAACTTAGCACTGACGTAATTCTATACAGCATTGCTTAATTTAGTTTAATTTCATCTTTGTCATAAGGTCACGTGTATTTCATACACAGAGATTTTCCGAAAAAAAAAACTAATGAGGAAGATTCGATGAACAGGACGCTGGGATTTCAGAATTCATTAGGAAAAACACCTTAGACCGACAATTTCCAGATAGACAAGTGTGAATGCATGTCGAATCATTTTTACACCAGTTAAGGAAAGATTGAAAAACTAGCTGATTTATCAGTAAGACATATGTGTTAACCGGGGTAGGGAAGGTATAGTGCCAAGCGGCGCATTAAATCGATAGTCACCCAGGTCTTCCATTCCTCCGGGGTCAGCTGACCGGGTACCAGACTTGTTTGGCAGGATAAAATGTCTGAAATGTACGTCGGCTAGCCACCGTAAGTCATTGTATTGACCATGTACGAATTTAAGTACAACGTTACGAATCTGAATTGGATCAAGTTTGGACGGCATACCAAAACAAGATTGCCAAACCCCAAAAAAAAACTTTCTGTCTTCTGTCCTGCTTTCAATGTTCCTAAGACGTTTCTTATTCTGCATTTCGTTGATTTTCGAACTTTCTCTCATATTTTAACTGTACTTATTCATGTAATAGCTGACGCTCACCTTCGCTAATTACATTTTTCCAGAGTCTCACGAAATGAGTGTTTCGAAGTTTGAACCACAACACTCGAAAAAAAAAATCATGACACAATTTTTGAAAAACGGCTTGTAGAGTTCTCTTCACAAAAGAAACAGCAACAAAATTTATTTTTTAACAGAAAACAGGTACTATAATAATAGTTATGAAACGCCAAAAACGGAATGAGAGGGGGTGCACTGAAAACAGAAATTTTCGTCTTGATCATCTAAATTCACGAAAAAATGAGCAAAAACAATAACGACAAGGTGGTGGTTCTGTCAACTATTGATTTTTTGATTTCTCAGTAGAACTTCAACCTCACAAAAGAATAATCGCGCTTGAACTAAGCCTCCCAGCAAGTCAAAAATCGATTCCTCCGAACTCAATGAGGGAGCGTATTCTTTCAGGTGTAGAGCATACAGCGAACCAACAAATCCGTGATATTTTTTTGTTGATTTGAATGTCAAACTGTCATTCTACTCCTATGTATTTATTTTACTATTCAGCGCCTATCGGTCTATATTGACCCTAAGATTCAGTAACTTCCATATCCTCTCATACCCATTCCCCCAGACTCTCTTCTTAGACGGTGATTATTTTGTTGCATGGAAATCAACGAGAGCGAAATCTCCACTCTGTTGGTGGGAACAGATTCGCACTAATTCCTCATAAAAAAAAGGGTGGTCTTTGGAAACATTTTCCCGCGAAATGGTATTCGAAGCGGTTTACTGGGAGAAAAAACAGAGAATGCTCACAACTTTATAATCAAGGAGTTTTTACATCGAAATGCACAACGTAATGCTGTTTTCAATGCGATCCTCTTTACAAAAAGTGAAATACAGAACAATATAGACGTTTATTTCAACGCGTCAGTGTTGACCGCGAAGCACTCAGGCCCATCCTTCTCAGAATGTTTTGATGGTGTGAAATGAGCCACGATGATAGGGCTAACAGTGCGAGGAAAATTATGAGATTCACTGGAAACGCAGTATTTATCAAGTTTTTTTTATTTAAGCTCATTTTCATGGAAATATAAGTTGATACTTTGAAGGAGGGACTAGTCTCTCTCATTTGACCTACAGAGCCACTTATATTCCATGTCCCCATTGTTATTTACGAGATGGGTCCCGCTCAGGTGGATAAACAAAATCCTCCAACATATGAAATGATCAAAATTAATTAGATGTTGTGAATACTGCTCAGTCTAAGTCATATCTCTTTCGCTGGTACCTGGCTAGCAGAGAAGGATGGAAATATAAACATGGAACATATGTAGGCTTAACAATAGCCGAACCTCGGACGATTGTCCATATACGCGGAATAACCTTTGGTGTCAAAAAAAGCCGGATCACCCTATGTAATGTGGTCCTCCTTCTTTTTTTAGGCTGTCACATAAGAAACACCATGTTTTAAGATACGTCGTTCATTATTAAAACGTATTCATCTGATCTATAAAATAGCATACTTGCTTGGGTATAATCATGGTTAAATTTCAAACTCGCTAGGTGAAAGACGACGAAAATTAGCCAAATACCGATGCACTTCTTGTAAATGTTCTTGTTTAACTTCGGCCGAAACGTTACATCTTTTAAGGGGCTAACTTTCGGCCCTGTCGCCTTCGTCGGATCCAGAGTTCACCCTCTTAAGGGACATTTCAACCCTTAGTTCTGTAAATCACAACCAAGTGGGATCACACGGAAGCAAAGCTGAAAACCACACTACGAACTGCCTTATTAAACCTTCCGCAAGAAGTATGTTCCAAATGATCTGACCTCTGACTTGAAGCCGGCGGGGATGAGTGAAGCACAAATAGGCCGAGGAACGGGAAAAGTCGATTGTTATAGACGGGTATTCACCTTTCCTTTTCACTTTATGGTTCTTCCACTTCATAGAGTTTCTGAAGTTTATCGCGCCAATGGCGTGAACCTCCGTGTCAATATACAATACTACATCGATATATGCATCTGACCAAGATTGACAGACAGAGGAAACCAAGGACTTTTCCGTAAGTGACTGGAGGTTGTCATAACCATGAGATTTTCCATGTATTCGCCTTTCTTATTCACTTTCGGCCACAATTTCTCCAAGCTGGATTTTCCCTCCTAACTGCTGCATTTCACTACCACTGAATATCTCATTCTTATACTTTCCTTCTTAACTACCCGATCAAGCATTGCTTTCGTGTCGTAAATGTGAGTAAGACGAGAAAAAGAAGCATCTTCGCCGTTTCTCTCTTTTCATCTTCGACCAAGTGACCATTGCTGTAAAAGCTGCTAATGGTGAGACTTTGAAAGAGAGATGGGAGAGGAGATCAGCTCGAGAAAATGGCTCGCTTAGAAAAATTATAAAGGGCAACCGGGCAACCATGAAAATCTGGTGGACAGAGCAATTAGATTCCGAGAAAATTAGCAACAGGCCACGTAATGATAGTGGTGTATCTTGTGATTGGGTTAATTTTTCAACATTGACTAACTTTTCACTATTGCAAATTAAGATGAGTTTGAAGGTTCGGATTCGGAAATTCGCCTACTGAACCTCTAGTCTGCAAACCCGACCATAATTATTTCCAAAGCAAGACAGGCTACTTTGTAAAATACATAAACATCTTTTTAAGAAAAAACGGCGTGATAAAAAACGTGGCATTTTCCGGTATGACTTCTAGCTTGAAAATAACACGTAGCTCGTGGAAAAACAGGAAGCACCGTCTGTGGAGAAGTGTTTTTGTTCTCAAATTAACTTCAAAGCACGCACCTAAAATGACGGGGATGAAAATCTTCCAACCATCAAAAACTCGAGTCCGCTTCACGCGATGAACTGCATGTGGATATGCCATACGACTAAACTCACATCTTTAGACGGGTCACAAGATCAGAACACTTCATACTTTTCTTCTTACCGATGAAATCTGTAGGGATTCATCCACGTTCTGATGGTGTCTCCCCTTAAAAAGGAAGTTACCGGCGGCAAGTCATCCGCTCTCCATAGCTGACTACCATCTCTCTTGAAAAAATCTCTTTTCAGAGCGGGTCTCCTAATGCGAAGTATTGAAACTTGCTACCGGTTTATAGTTGACTCTTCTTACTGTGTATCTTCCCATTCTNAATTTGATATATCGGGCAGTTATATACTCATCCTCGTAGACTAAGACATATTCCCAGCCACCGGTGCCTCTGTAAGGAAAAAAACACTTACGCATTATAGTAGTGGACCAAGCGTAAGGTTATACGTCGAAGCGGAAGAAGAAATTCCTAAAATCCCGCTTTAGGCAATTGGGTGTAAAAAAACAACAAATGCACTGATTGTGAGAACCGTGTACGGATGTGAGGTATAGTAGGAAAAAGATACCATCAAAAATCCCATATCATTCAATATTGAGGTTTCAACGTGTTCATGAATAGAGGAGGGGGAGGAAATACAAACCAGCCATCGGAATATGCAAGAAAGAAATGACGTACGATAGCTGACCAGAATGCTAGGAGTCTTCAATAACGCTTGTGGAAAACTCGGCTTGACGAGCCGAAATCCGATATACAGCCAAAATCATTCCCAGATCTGATTCTCATAATTGAGGTCGTTCGGAGCGGTCGCGTTACTGCCGGCTGTCGTGAGTTTTTCACTCTAATAGTTTGTTTCTAAGAGTACCACCTCTTTATAATCTCTAAATTTTTCTGAGTTCTCAAACTTTTCATTTGTAGTTTTTTTACAACTTTTGGCCGGTTTTTCTTATCAGTTTTGTGTTTTTCTTTGCAGTGTGTTTTTCATCACTCCTTGGTTGCCTGCTACTTGTAATTATTGACTCGATAGACTCAATATCGGTAGATCAAAGGTCAAATAAGATGCCTTCCAAGCAGCAGCGCACCAAGAAGGCTTCGTTGAGCAGTTGTTAGCCAGCCCGTTCGACTAGCAAAGGAGACACACAGACCACAAGCTTTGGGGCGGAAAACTTCCAAAATATGTCGGCGATGG